GCAATATTGCTTCTCCTTTCCTTCCACATCAACACGAGCTTTACGGGCAGCAAGTTTTCCCACATCCAGGCCAAGGTCTTTAGCAATGTTCCCAATAACAGATCCGTGTTTCAGCTCCTCTCGAACAGAATAGCTCAGGTCTCCGTGCGCGTAGTGAACAACAACAAAGAAAAATATGAAGCCGCAGCTTACCGGAAATCGTCCTACATTCGCCATTCTAAGGCAGAAAATAACGAGGAAAGACGATGGAAAAAGAAATCTAGCGGCTTTTTCCACTCATCAGTATTTCAAGCGTTTGACTCCTGCTGCGTAGAACATAAAACACACAGAGGCCAAACCCAGTGATGGGTGGTGAGCAAAATACTTCAATGTTTGATTTCATAGCTGGTCTACAGTGACACCGTGAGTATATACTAACTATAACAAGTATGGGAATTGCGTATATTTTCTGGATGGAAAAACCCATATATCCGATTACAAAAAGCACTTACATAGATCACATTAGGTCTAACCATCCTTCTTTCATTCATTTTACTCTTAATTAGGTAGTTCTTTATCATAACGTAAAAGATCTGTCTTCATTGTCCATAAAACTTGACAAAACATGACATGATATTTAGTAATAAACAAAGTTCTTTCGAGATTTATCCAAGATTTGAACCTGTTTATATCATTCCATCCGACAGCATATATCTCTTCCTCAGAAGAAAAATGCAATTATATCATGTGGTCACTTTTTGTGAAAAAGAACGAAAACATGCTCTTTGAGGTATAACATGAAGCTACGTTAAAATTCAATAAAATTTTGTTATTGCATCCCTCTTAATTGTTCTCAATTAAAGCATTCTATTCATGGCATTGTACTGATGAAAAAGTAGTTGCTCAAATATCCTGAAAGCAAAGACAATGTGTGATAATATGGATTTAAAAAAGTAATCTTTTAGTGAATTGTGGTGAAATAAATCAAAGATAACCTGGTGCTTCGAATTAGTTTTTCACTCGATGCAATTAATACTTTTTTTTTCACCATAAAGTAAGCAAGGCATGACATACAAGTGGAATCTCTGAATCAATTTCTTTGGACAAATCTGTCTTTTGTGTATGAGATGTAAAACTGTTGCAAGTTAGAAAATGATAGCTTTTCGCTTAATGTTTATCATAAGTGCAGAAACAAAGTTCAGCACCAAGGACAGAGACACGAAGACATGTTTTTAGAAAGCAGCGGGGCAGACAATGATGCAATGATGACTGATGAATTAGTGTTTTAAAACTCTATTATGTCAGGCACAAGAGGATTATCAGATTACTTAAAATGTCAACTATTTAAACATGCATTGTCAAATCAAATTAATTAAAAAAGAATGGAAAATCAAACCACCACACATTTCTTTGAAACAGGAAAAAGCCAATAGATGACAGAGTTTTTGTAATGAAAACGAACACAGTCTTCAATATGCACTGCAAACGTAGTTGTGATTTATGTATGTGAGATAATGCTGGGTCACATTTTTGTTAATACAAAATGTAATAAGGTAATATATTCAGCTTACCACAGATCATATATATATGCATGTCTATAGCCAAGACCGTTACATAATAATCTATGAAAGTATGTTTATCTATATTGCCTATATTTGCAATTGCAGTATTGAATGTTTGATTTGAGCTTAAGCCAAACCACTGAAAGAAGATATTATATTTTTATTTTCAGATGTTATCTTATATAGGAACATAACTACTTCCTATGCAAGACTGCCAAATATCAAATACACTGACAAAATGTTCGACAATTTTTTCTCTATACTTAAATTAAAAGAACTTTCAGTCTGTTTATCATAAGAAATAGGAAATTCCACCACGTGTAGGATTAACATTTGAGCATGTTTAACAATGTCATTTTCTTTGAAAGAAGCATAGTTTCTAAGATGACCTAAAAATAAGTTTGACATAATTTTGGATTCTGTTTTTTTATTTTTTTTATTTCACCCTATTCATGTATGTATTCATTCATTCATTAAATAATCTGTTTAATTATCTAATTCTGAGTAGAATTAAGAGGGAGGCTGGAGCTATTTCTACTCCTTACCAGGCAAGATGAGATAGACATGGGACGGGTCATAGAAACTCAAAGGCTCACCAAGATACGAAAAAGATAACAATAGCTCACACCTTGGCTCAATATGTGGTAACCAGTTAAGCACATATCCATATTTTTGGGCGCTGGCAAAAAGCGCCAGTACAAAAAAAATTCATGCATGAACAGGGAAACAATTGTAGTGTCTGAAGCTTACAGTTAAGCACAGACTGTTCTGTAGGTAGAGCATAAAGTTCTGAAAAACACATTCCTAAAGTAGAGTGTAGGAAGGATGCTCAAGCTATGGATGAAATATGGAGACGGCCAGGCAGAGGACAATAAAGAAGATGTTCATGATACCCTAGATGTACGACTGGAAGGAGACGCCCTGGTGGTGGACCCAAAAAAGGAAAGGTGTATGATATGTATAAAACCATATTCTGGCTGCACGCCCGGAGGAAAACAGCCTGACGTAAGACAAAAAGTACAGATACGGGATTACCACATATAAGGGCAGGCACACCCAGAATAAGACAGAGTTTTCTCTGAGACCTCTCCAGACTTGATGCATCAATCTGTACTTCTGACTCGGACCTGGCTGAAAATCAAATCCTTTATGTTGGACGAACTCTGCCTCAGCAGAGTTTGTCCTGCAGAATCTTCACCTGAGCTATTTGAATTCACCAAACAATAAAAATTCCACAGAAAAATATCCCCGGTTGAGATTTTAGTTCTTGCTGTGGGGTGATGATACCAAGCACAACACCACGCTGAAGCTAAGATTCCCCATTAAAAGTAATTATGTTCACTAATATTAGTTAGCAAAATGAAAAAAGTTCACAGATAATACTTCTTGTAAATATGTCTGTGGGTAAAAACAAATATTAAAAACAATTTGAAAATCGTGAATGGTTAATTGGACCCTACCTCAGTAGAACATTCTGTAATTCCAAATGCATCATCAAAGTCTGCTGGGCTTTTCTTCAGAGTCTGACCGGCTGGCAGCGTGTTGTCATTGTAAGATGACACAAACTTAAAGTCACTGGTTCTAGATCCTGTTGTCAGATACGCGTC